CCCCAGCCGGTACTGGGCTCTGCGGTTGTCTCGTCCCAGGTGCTGGGGCCTTTGTCGTGGTTTAGCCCCAGCCGGCAAATAAGCACCACGCAGCCGCTGGCTCACTCCCCCTCTCCCCCAGTGGGACGGGGGAGAGAATCGGGAAAAACTTGTGGGTTGAGATAAAAACAGTTTAATAGGACACCAAGAGAGAAGGAAACAGCAATGATAATACCAACAAAGGAACCTACAAGAACAAGTGATGCCCAATGCAGCGATTGCTCAGCACCCAGTGATCGACAGCCCATCTCTGAGCAGCAATTTCTGCCCCCCCGGCCAACTCCAGTTTATGTACTGGGCATGACGTCGTATGGTATGGAATATCCCTTTGGCCAGCCTGGGTCAGCTGTCCCGGCTGTGTCCCCTCCCAGCTCCCCGGGCACCTCCTCACTGGCAGAGCGTGGGAGTCTGAAAAGTCCTTGACTCAGTATAAGCACTACAGCTGCTCAGCCACAACTAGAGCTTCAGTGTGTTATCAACATCCTTCTCATACCAACTCCAAAGCACGGCACTATGCCAGCTATCGGGAAGAAAAAAACCCACAGCTCTGTCCCAGCCAAAACTGGGACAGCCTTGCACTTGTCTTTGTTAAACTTCATGCTGTTACTGCTAGCCCACTCTTCCAGCCTGGCCAGGTCTCTCTGTAAGATGGCTGTCCCTTCTGATGCATCTACCTCACCATGCAGTTTAGTGACGTCAGTGATACCTTTACCCAAGCCAGCCCTGGGCACTGGAGATAGCCCTTATCGAGTGGGCTTCAGATACCAAAGGTCTGTGGGTTTCAGGTGTTAAGAAAAGGCTATACTCATCCATGTGCACAGCTCATTATACTCTGCCTTCTTCACCCTCCTGATTTCCCTGTGCTGGCTGCACTGAGCCTTTCTGGGAGCTGTTTCACACCAGCCCCAGTGGAAGGTGAGGTATGGGTCCTGCAACCTACGCAGGCTCGCTCTCCAGCCTGTTCTGCTTGCCAGGTGAACTCTGCACGTCCTGCAATCTGAGGCAGATCTCAGACCTCACAGAAGGGATCTGTCTCTATCTCCACAGCCTGGAAAACTGACTCTTAAAATGGGGAAAAAGGTACTATGCATGGATCCACAGGACTTGAGTTCCCTCAAGGCAGGGAGACTTTGTCATCTGGGGTCCCACCTAGTAAGTCAGCTAGAACTTGAGGTATATCCTGTGATAAAACTTGAACTCCAACTACCAGCAGCACAACTTTAGTGCCATTCAGAGCCTTGCTCAGGGTTCTGAAAGCCAGACATATTAAAAATAATCTTGTCTCTTCTCTGAGTTTCCATCCCCTCCTTTTGCAATGCAAAAGAATGTTCTTTCCCCACTGAGCTGTGATCCCAGCTGGCACCACATTCTTTCCGTTCTCCCTAGCAACTTCTCATCTTGCTCGGGTTTTTATATAGGACACAATTTATCATACCTCTTTGTGTACACTTCTCAGGCTTTCCTTAAGCATTTTGCTTATCCTGAGCCAAGAACTGCCATTCTGTTTGCCTGCTCCCAGACTCTAATCTGAGGTCTTTATGCAAACATTGGCACCATCTCCAAGCGTTATAACACAGCAAATTGCTGCCACTCAGAAAATACTGGCAATACCACTGGATTCTCCACGTGTCTTTAAACATTCATCCTGCCTTTAGGCTTTTCTTCCACTGAAGAACCAAACAGAAACCCCAGAGAAGACGTATGAGTTTTTAAGTTCATCTGACAATAATAAAGACTATGTCAGATTAGAAAAGACAGTGTAAACAAGACAGTATTCTCCCTCTGTCTCCACTGTGATCTAGGCTTACATAGAATGTAGTCAGCTCCCATTGCCACAACAGTAGCCACGCAAGGAAAAATCTCTTTGTTCACCTCACATGCAAAATGCATGAGATCAAAATTGTTTTTCCTTGTGCAACAAAAGTCATGCAGTTATTTTCAGCAAGAGGGAAGTGAAATCTGAATTCAAGGGGCGTGAAACTCAAAATATTGAAAGACATTAGATATAATCCCTGTGCACTTGGAAGGCAGGTGTATACGTGCATGTTTGGTATGTAAGGAGGATTAAGAGAAGGTGCACGAGAAAGTAGAATTAATGAAAACTGTCATCCTTATCAGATGTAAATGCAAGAACTAAAGGTGACCCAATCGTGTGGCCAGCTGTTGGTAGTGGTGGAATAACAACTTGACAGGGTTACGTATTATATTAAGTGCTAGGACCAGAGATCTATGCACCTCTGTTTTGCATTCAGGCTCTCAACACTGCCTATCAAAACTTCAATCAGATTTCCTTGCAGAGCTGAGAATATTGTCAGACTAGTGCAACGGCCCTTGCCGACTACGGAGGGAAAGCTTGTAACTCATTCAGCAAAGCGCACAACTCCGGAGCATGACGGGATCCTAATCTTTTTGAATTTGCCAGTTCTTTTGTTCCACTCCTGTCTCAGACAGTGTGCTCTAAAACGCTTAAAATAAGTATTGCAGAATGCAGTACAAAGAAATGAAACCAACAGTTTCATTTCCCTAATGTATTACCTTATGACAGGAACAACATACATCTGGGTAGTAGGAAAGACAGAAGTGTCACATGCTACCTGAACACAACTGGCTTTGCCTACGCTGGTTGAGAAGTGAACAGGCCATATGTTATATTTCCATTCATTTCTCAGAATCCACATTAAAAATAAGCGTAGGAATAAGTGTGTAACGGTTCCAGATTCATGCCAGCCAAAGTTAGTGGTGACTTTGCAATAAAGTCACCTGGGCCGTGGATCTCTGGGGGAAGGGAACACCTTTTGCACTGCAAAAAGGGGGCACAGAAGCAGAAGAGGGAGGGGGCTGAGCTGATAACCTGAGTAGCTCTAGCATTTGGCTAAGACTTCTGTGGTGACGCCGTAATCACGGCTAAAGCCTCAAGCAAGGCAACAGCAGCATACTACACAGAATGCCAAGCCCCAAACATGATTTTTTTCCCCTCTTGTCTAAATAGATGGCTTTTCATTACGTGTTACCTGCCTGTGGGAAATGTCACACAACTGGCAGCAGCAGAGAGGATCCAGGGTCACCAAAGCAAGTGGTTGGACAAATTTAATTTCCATTAGTATTTTCTTCTGAAGGAAGTTTATTTTTCCTCCAGCCTTCTTCTTCATAGTGAGGAAGTGATTTCCTCTCCTCGCCTCAAGGAAAGTCTTTTCTCACGCTGTCTTCTTCCCAACATCTGCCTAAAGCCTACATCCACGCTTAGGCAGGATTTAGCCAACATTTATTATCAGTGCAGCATTTTGCACTAGCAACTGTGACACATGAAATACTTTACTGTAAAGAAACGAGAGTCCTTTCACTCTTGGAAAAGATGAGTCGAGCAGTTGACAGCAGCGTGGGGTAGTGCAGCGTGTGGCAGAGAGGTGCCACCTCCCCGTTCACACTCTGTGGGAGGATGTTCCCGTTCTGGTGCTCCGTCACAGCGGGTGCTTTGAAATAGATGGGCAAACTGTCAAATAACTGGGACATACGTCTGTATCTGAAGGGACAGTTTCCGCTAAGGATTAAAATGACATAATTGGATTAAATAGTAAATGAAGACATGTACACACTATTAAAACAAAGACAAGTTATTTGTTCCTCTATCACACAAGAGATTTTGTACTATAGGAAGAAAAAACCAATTTTTTTTTTAATTTAGTTTAACTTAAGATTTACTTTCTCTTTACTGGACCACACAATTTCTTTAGGACATCTGTCCCATTGATTGTCTCCTTGACATCTGTTGAAAAGAACAACACAGAAATCAACTTAAGAACAAGTATGCGGTAGTGGAGCTGCTAAAGCTTAGGCAGAACATTTACTGATGTGCAGATGCTTGTGTGTCCTTGCTAGCAAGTCCTGTCTTTCATTGCTAACATATCTTACGCAGCTTTTGAGACTGAGCGGCCTGCTCAGAGTGTGGAGAGTGTTAGTGACTCCGGGCCCTGATCGTGCCTTTGTAGAAATGCGATGGAAATTGATTTCAGAGCTGGTGGTACTCGCCACTAATCCCTCAGTGGAGGAGCCGGAGTACTTCTGAAATGTGCACTTCTCTGTGCATTGCACTGAAATATGTCTCTTCAAAAGTATACTGCAGATTGCTACACCTAGGGTAGTCAGTTTAAGGTCCTTTTATAGTAACTGGGAGTGATAGGCAAATCTAGGGCACAATTCATCTCATTTTGATTTAGGTGTCTAACAGGCCAGATGAATCATGCCTCCAAAAAGACTTGCTTTTTTCACTGACATTTTCATGTCTAAACGTTAGAGACAATTAATTTCATCCTGCTTGGCATGCAGAAGTGCAAAGTGCTAATTTAACGACCTGACATTTTTTAATAAAAAAGGAACCACACCTACAGTCATTGATTAGTCTGGAACAGAAGGGGTGTTACTCTCAATATGAATCTCAAACCAACATAGTTCAAAGGCAGCTGACAAACCACACACAACAAAAGTTGCTTCAAAGCATATGTGAAAAGGGGGAAACCCCTTGGCTCTTACTGAAGCCAAGGGCAAAAATATACATAGTTAAGTGTAAGCTATTACAGCAGCTGTGACCACAACCACTTCTTGTTCCTCTCTTCCCATCTCACTTGTCACTGGATGTATTGGACATGCCGTACGTTATGTTATACAGAATATACTTTGATGTGATTGAGTTAACAGCACAACAGGGAGACTAGCTGATCACTTCCCTCATTGACTCAAGTCCTCTAGAAAAACAGAGACACTCTTGTTCATGTCCAAATTGTGAACATCTCTCCTCAGCTAGTAACAGACTTGCAAATGTAATCACCACACAATGATTTTTTAATGAACTAATGGTTTCTTCTTGTCATTTTTCTGCCTGCTGGTGGTTCCTTTCCTTTGGTGAAGGATGCTGTCGGAAGGTTACCTTTACAGAATCGCCTACCTTTGCGAAGAACTAAACCCTGAGCTCTACAGCAAGAGTTCAGCTGAGCAAGTGGTGTATGAAATGAAGTCTGTTCGTTATTCCACAGATGAAGCACAAGGAAAAAGCCTCCTTCAGAGATGCAGATCTGCTGGCAAGTGCATTTCCTCAGTTTGCTCTAGAGGTAGCAAGCACAGCAGAAGGCAGAAGGATAATCTCCTACAGCCTACACAGCACCCCGTGCCTGAAGGGCAGCCATCTCCAGCTCTGCACGTCTGCCCGGGGCTGGCAAGAAAAGACACCTACCTGGTTCCATCTTCCTGCAAAAGCATTTGCAAGAACTACAACGATTTGCATATAGCCGGGGACTACGTGGTGCCGATTAGCTCAGTAACGACAGATTTTACCTGCGACAGCGGCATAGGTCCCTTCTTGGAGTCCTCAGAGATTCCTCCTCCCATGGAGTCCGTGAGGGTCCCCCCCAGCGACACCAGCCGCAAGCCGGTCCAAGGCTACTCCTCATGCTGGCGGTTGGCAAGCTTAGTGCCCCACCAGCAGCCCCTCTCCGACTCAGCCCTGAACGACTACCTTGAACAGAAGCTGATGGAACTGTATAAGCAGTACATTATGGATAGCACAGCAAACAGGGCATCCCCCACTCAGATCCTGGCCTCGGAGCTTATCATGACTAACGTAGATCAAATCAGCATGCAGATATCACGGGAGAGGAATATGGAGACCACCAAGGCCAAAGACATTGTCATTAGCCGCTTCTTACAAATAGCCAGTGAAAAAATATCCTCAGAAATTAGCACACCTAGTCTGCATATTTCCCAATATAGCCACACTAATGCATAGTATTTGAATGTCTGCCATTAGAAAGCTTTTGTGTTCTGCAAAGTCAATTTTTAGTTTCTTAAGACATTTTTCTGCTTCATAAAAAAGCATTCACCATCTACCACTTAAATTAAACCTTCCAGTACATATTAAATAAGTAAAAATATCTGTAGTGTGCAGCTCCTATTGTGGACCAGGTGATTTATTGTTGGGTCTGGGTTTTGGTTTTTTTTTAATTTATCCCAAAGTCTTATTTCAATAAACCTCAGACATGAAAAAAGGTTTGGTAGAAAAATGACTAAGAGCATATGACGTTTCTTCCAGGTGCTCAGGTGTTCGCTTTCTTCTCTGTGTGCTTGACATCTCATTCCAACTTTCTTCTGTCTGGAGTCTGCCATCCTACCCCTGGGTCTATGTGAAGCGAAGGCTTACGTCCATGCAAGCACAAGCGCAGTGATCACAGAGCTACAGAAACACAGAATTTAGGGTGTCATCTAGTTCATCTTCCTGTCCAAAATGGCTTTACTTATGACATCCATCACAGAAGTATTTATAATTTGTTCTTAAAGATATTAAGGGATAGACACTTTACGGTTTCTTCTATACGAATCCAAATTATTTAACTGGTATCTTTCTGTTCAGAAGCTACCATCCCTTTTTGTGAAGCGCAAACTGTTTCCAAACAGAATTCGTCAGTAGGAGCATGTGTGTACACCTGTGTGTTTGGCACTAAGCTGAACTTATACAACGGACGCTGGTGACCCGTGATCACAGACGGACACCACCTTCGCCAGCTACTGGCAGACCTGCAGCTGTGAAGTGGTCGTGTA